CCTTGCCTATATGTTGTTTGAGTACAACAACATAAGTAGCATCTTGGTATCTCGAACCCCTCGAGGGGGTGATGATAACCCACATAGAGGAAGGAGAAGAGTTAGGTAAGTGCGGTTACCTAAGATGGTTTGACAAGTGGTCGCTCATCCCTATTATATACTTACGCGGTACGCCTATTTAACGGTTCTGGTCGCCAAACTCTAGATCCCATAACCCGTTCTCGTTCCATAGATTTATTTTTAAATTAATTATATAATTTATCTTCCATAACAATCACTGCATGGTTATAAAAACATTCTTTGATTATCGTCAGTCGTCACAACAATGCGCGTATGACCTTCTAACGGCGTTCGACAGAAGCGATGTAGAAAACGAAGTCTAAATCTCCTGCACTCGATATGACTATAACGTTCTGTACTTCAAATAACTATAATACTCTAAAACTAATGATTTGAGCACATTTTTTTGGGCGCCATCGCTTTTAAAAGTTCCATTTTCTGAGGTTTCGAAAAAAAAATGTGCAAAATCGGGTTGGATGTAGGTGTGTTATTATTAGGTCGTAGGTTCGGTTTATTTGTCGTTATCGTCGTCAAGCCGTATAATATTATAATAATATCGTTAATATTAATTATTATCTAGTTACTTACCTATATATTTCAATATATATACCTTCGAATATTTTTGTTTACCGCTTACTATTAATCGATTTTTATAGGCGCATCGTCGATGTCTGCGCTGTGACGAACGAGGGACTATAATATTATAAGGTTATAACTTTGTTGTAGGAATAAATTATAATTCAAATACCTATATTTGTCTGTAAAACCACACTGGTTTTGTGCACTCTTCATCTCCGACGGAGCTGTTTCACATAGGAAATACGAAGCGTGATATGGCATCATATTTCATCCCGTGTACCTATCAGTGGCGTCATTTTGGGGAGGGCAACTGGGGCATGTGCCCCAGTCTAGTACTTACATCAACCTTAAGTCGGCACATTTAGCAACACCTCCCCCCCTTAACCACTATGGCACAATGCCATATGAGAATCTGAGTGAAACAAATTTTGAGTCGGAAAAGCAGTGAAAAGTTGCCCTAGTCTAATAAAAACTAAAATGACGCCACTGGTACATATAAAATGTAGGTACAGTAAAACCTGTGTAATATGGAACCTGAATAACGTGGAAACCTGACTTTTATGGAAAAATGTTACGGTCCCGGCGATCCTAATGTAATTTTAAATACATCGTTCCCTGAATAAGATGGAACCTGTTTAACGTGGAAATGGAAACAATATTTTGTCATGAACCTGTGTATCATGGAAATATGTACATGTACTATTTTAAAATTATCAGTCAATGAATATAATCTATATCAATTATATAGATTATTTCGTTGCAATAAGTTTATTTTATCGATAAGTGTCGTAGTAGTGTTCTGACGTAGACTGCGTATAGACCTATATTCAATATGACGTCCAAAAATAAATGTTTAACACTAAATGAAAAAATTAAACTAATTGAGTCAAGTGAAAAAGATAAATTAACAGTAAAACAAATTTGTGAACTTTTCAAATGTGGAAAAAGTCAAGTGTATAATATATTAAAGCAAAAAAATGAAATAAAAGAACAATGGATGAATGGTATGCAATAAGCTTAACTATAAAAATGTAAAATTCAAAATTCTATATGTACGTATATTTTTTAATTTTAGGAAATGGGCGAATGAAAAGAAAACCAAAATCCAACGCTAATGAAGAAATTAATAATTTGACTTGGGAGTGGTTTGTAAGTGCTAGAGCAAAAAATATACCAATTTCTGGACCAATTATACAGACTAAAGCACGCCAAATTGCTGAACAAATGTCAGTCACCGAATTTAAAGCATCGAATGGCTGGTTGGAAAGTTTTAAAAATCGACATAATATTGTTTGGCATCAAATTTGCGGTGAGTCAAATAGTGTCGATGTTAAAAATGTTGATGAATGGAAGGTGAAAGTAAAATTAATTATTGAAGGATATGAACCTAAAAATATTTATAATGGTGATGAGACGGGTTTATTCTTTCGCGCATTACCAAGTAAAACACTATCAGTGAAAAGTGAAGAGTGTAAAGGTGGTAAGCTTTCCAAAGAACGTTTAACGGTATTTTTATGTGCTAACATGGAAGGAGAATTTGAAAAACCTCTAGTTATAGGCAAAGCACAAAAACCCAGATGCTTCAAAAATGTAGATCCGACAAAATTTCCCATAATTTGGCGAGCTAATAATAAAGCATGGATGACTGGAAGCATAATGGAAGATTGGTTGCATACATTCAACAATAAATTAAAAAAACAAAATCGAAGAGTTATTTTATTTCTTGATAATGCAACATGTCATCCGCATTTAAATTTATCAAATGTTCATTTAGCGTGGCTTCCAGCTAACACGACATCACTTACCCAACCAATGGACCAAGGAATTATTTATTCGATTAAAGTAAATTATCGTAAAATGGTTTTACAATCGTTATTAGCAAGTATGGATAGCATAAAAAGTGTTAATGAATTGTCAAATAAAATTAATGTACTAGATGCAATTTATTGGTTGAATAAATCTGTAAACTTAATAAAACCAGATACAGTCAAAAAATGTTTCATAAAAGCCGGGTTTAATTTAGTTTTGGACCAGCCAACAGATGCCATTAACGATAACGATAACGATTTTAAATTGCTATGTTCTACAATAAATGAAAAAGTAGATAGTGATGAATATGTTAACATCGATAAGCATTTATGTACTAATGATACTGATATTATTGCTGATACTACAGTGAAACCTTGCACTTCAATAGACGTTGAACAATCCAGTTCCGAAGACGAAACAGATAATGTACCATTGCACGGCAATGATATTAAAACGTATAAGAACGCCCTCCATGAAATAAAACGATTAGAAATGTTCGCATTGGATCAAAATAATGAAAATGAACTTCTTGAATCAATTCTCAACTTGAAAAATTTAGTAGAAAAGAAAATGGCAAGTCAAATAACAAAACAAAAAACATTGGATGAATTTTGGAGTAAAATATAATATAATAATAATATGTAAAATATATAAAAATATATAAATTATAAATTATGTATATTTAATAAAGATCTACCCATCGTGAATTTTTTTTTTTTACAACCTGCATTAAATGGAAACCTGTCTAAAATGGAAAAAATATCCGGTCCCAACTGTTTCCATATTACACAGGTTTTACTGTATATAGATATTAAAATAATAATACCTCCGGGCCGCGGTGATGTGTTTATTTCCAATTTGCTGTAATTAAAATCGTCGCATTACAATTACTGCTCACCTATCCAAATGACTGCGAGTTATTCGCCACAGTTATTCGATGACAGACGACAGATTTTCCACACCAATACAATAATTATATACGATATCTATTGGTATATAACATGCATACAACTGTCACACAAAAAGACATTATACAGATCATAATATTATCTGTATTAAGCATAATATAAATCATAATATTATCTATATTATTTTTTGAGCATAAAACTATAAAGTTATGATGTACATAATCGGCAGTCTGTAATCATCAAGTAATATACCCTGCAAATACAACCCCGCATGAGCTGCAGCATGTTGTTTCATTCCAAAATCGACTGATTGCGTTTATAAACCTATATTTACTTTGTGATATTGATCGACATGGGTTTTCAGCTCATCAATCGATCAAGCACAGGTGGTTAATCTGTATACCTATATATTATATGAGGGACGTAAATAGGAAATATAAGAATATAAATTAAGATTATAGGCATATAGATATGGATAAAATATAAAAAATATATGATGGTGTAAGTATATATGAATAAAGACGAACGTAATGTTATATAATAATATAATATGTATACTTGTGTCATCAACGAGTTTTATTAATTTTTTTTTTTAAAATCTCAATATTATTGCTATTTATAATAATATTCGAGTTTATATTGAATATGTACATAAAAAAAAAAAAAAACATTCATATATAGGGTATATATTATAATAGGATTGGCACTTGTACACAGTTTTACCCTATCTTAAAAATTAGTCTACTGTCATATATATATATATATATGGAGCTTACAAACGGCTGTATTTACTTATATATATATATAGGTAGGTACAATATATATTATATATATATATGTTATACGCGAACAAATATAAGAATTGTACAACAAACAAACAAACAAAATTAATATTATATGCGTATAAATGATGCGCGCTCGCGCTGTTCCCGTCGAACAAAATAATATAGGTAGGTGGTACATTGCAATAATATAATATCCGACAACGAGGCGGCAGAAAAGTCTTATCACAATATAATAAACAACACGTAAATAATAATAATAATGATGATGATGATAATAATATTACTATTATAGGTAGGCCTACGTTTAAACAGAATACAGTCGAAAAAAAAAATTTAAAACAAAATCAAAACGATCCTCCGGTGGTCGTGCGGAGCTGGGTACGACATATTATGTACCTGCACAGCTGAGTGTAAAATGTTACGGTGGCGTTGTATAGTGTCACAAAATGCGTACATTATACGTCGTAGGAACTCGTCGAGACGATAATTTTTTTTAAAATTCACGAGCATCGCGGATAATAATATATAGTTCGGGCGTCGGACGATTATCGCGTTCTCCAGCATTTTATATATATTATTATCATTATGTCTATTACGTTCGAGCGTGCGCCGTAACGATACGGTTCGTTTCTTTTTCTTTGCGGGTGACTAGTTTCCATCGTGTACAACGATATTGTAGTAGTAATAATAATGATATTAATAATAATTATTGTATAAGAGAATAGTGTTTATACAATATAATAACATATTATAATAATATTATTATATAATATAATAATAAAATAGAACGAGATAGATACGCGGCGCGTATAGTCTTTAAATACCGTTTTGCCGTGGGCGAGAGCTGAGCACGTCCGCACTAGACGCTCGTGGTAGACCCCGGGCCCCCGCCGCCCATCGATGGGGTGGGTGACGCGGGGGTGGTCGACCGCCGGCCGCCGGGCGACATGGACGAGCGCGCGGACGGCGGATGAGTCTGCTGTACCTGTCCGCCGGCCGGCTGGTGCGTCGGCGGCGGGCCCTGTTGCTGTTGCTGTTGCTGCTGCTGCTGCTGTTGCTGCAGGCCTTGGGCGATGAGGTGCGCCATGGTGGGCCGGTGCGACAGGAGCGATTGCAGTTGGTGCTGGTGGCCGAACAGCTCGGACGGGTGTTGGAAGTAGTGCGGCAGGTGCGGATTGCCGTACAGCGGGTGATGCGGCCGGGCCGCGGCCACCGCAGCCATCTTCAGCTTTTCGATCTCGGCCTCTTGTAGCCGCTTGGCTTTGGCTCTCCGGTTTTGGAACCATATTTTCACCTGTTAAATCGGACACGAGTCGCAGAGATTAGAAAAGTAATAATGATGATTATATGACTTAATTATTACGGGTACATGATATAGGTCCAACGGAGTTAATCGTATTGTTAAAAATTATAATATGCTCGGTGACGCCGAACTTATTGTCAATTAATAATATACCTATTTCACCACCCTCCAGAAAACATCAGAAACGTGAGGGTAATGCTACGCCAGACCCCCATACAGTTAAATTGAAGTTCCATTTAAAAAACTAATAAAACCGATTGCAAACTGTTTTTAAATAAATTATTATTAATAATTATTCGAAACATTCTAAACGAATATCGTGTTAAGAAAACTAATTAATAACACTATGCCTGTCTCATTTATTATTCAAAACGGCGAGCGTTCAAAGTTGACCTACAGTAATAATAATTATATCATATTATTTATATTTATGTTAATTCCTATAATACGTTTTAGTTATACCCTGTATTGCAACTTGCTACTTGCAAGTCATATATAGTTATTGCCTACCGTGAGAAGCAACTAAGTATTTAGTAGAACTCAATCTGTATACCTATTTATAGAACATACGTAAGACCATCCCACGCCATTAGAGCTATTGTCTTATAAACACCTGTTAATAGACGAAGGCCATACATATTATATAGGGCGCATAGGATATCCAAAAGCCCACACTTATCGCCAAAACTTCATAAGCACAGACGGTTAAGTACAAAACGATTGCTTTACCTGTGTCTCGGTCAGGTGCAGAGAATTGGAAAACTCGGCCCGTTCGGCGATGCTCAGGTACTGTTTTTCCCGGAACTTTTTCTCCAGGTTCAACAACTGTTGCGTGGTGAACGGCGTCCTGGGCTTCCTGTTTGGCTTGTGTTTTCGCAGGTTGCACTTGAGTTTGGGCGGTTCGCCGTTGTTGGAATCTATAAAAACGGAAAACCAAAATGAGTACACTCGACAAACACAATATATAACAATGTAATATAATATTATTATATCATTACAATATAAGTACGATTACTAATAATAATAATAATAATGATTATTAATTTCCCAGTCAAAATGGATTAAATCGATGTAATTTATTACAATATATAATAATAATTATTATTATTATTATTACACGACACACACACACACACACACACGTAGAGAACTTAGGACACGGGCTTAGAGCTGCACGCGCACACGTATATGTCGTAGTCCGTCTATAAATAAGCTGTTTGTGTGTGTATATATGCATAATAGAAAGCGACGATTAACGACGATAAACGGAGACAACGTGTGTGTGTGTTTTAAAAATTTGTGGCAAATAATTTAAACGCGTGAAAACCGAGGCCAAAAAATGTAAAACCTACAGACTCATACGCGGCGGCGGCGGTGTTATCGACTATACAGTAATATATTGTTCGCGTTTAGGCGAGTTACTGTCTTTTTTTTTTTCTCTTTCCGTTTCCTCTTTCTTGGCACGACCCTCGCGAGCGTTTGTCCGCGTGTGCGTTTGTCATCATTATGTGATGTCAGTGTGTGTGTGTGCTGCCGGGTCGGGCCGATTAACACATTTTACGTTCGTTTTAACGTGCATTTGTCTCGGTCGCCCGAGAGAGCAATTAGACGCCGCTAAAAATAATAATAAAACGGCGGCCGAGTGTGTGCGTGTGTGTGTGTGTGTGTGCGTAATGATATAAACCGCAGCGCATATTATTATATATGGTGAACAGAAGAGAAAAAAAAATCGCCCAATTAGAGAGAGATACGTCGGCGGAATACCGCAGACGGCGGCGGCGTTATAGGTTACTGCTGCTATGAGCTTATTGCTGCCGTTGCAGCCGGCTAGACGGAGATCGAAAAAAGAAAAACGCGTGCTGCCAAACAATAGCCGATTTGTATAAAACCGTGGCAATTATTATTATTGCAATCATACGATTATATATTATTGTACGCTATATATAGAGGTACACTTATAAATACACCGATGGAGGTGCCTACTGCACTGCACCGTCCATTGTCGTGTAACAATAGCATTAATATAATATATTGTAATATTATCGTCAGCGCGATAAACTTCATGAAAAAGTGTCGGCCGCCGGTAGGTAGTGCCTACTTCTAAAAAGGTTTAGGAGATGAAGTAATTGTTTGAGCGCTCGAGTTCAAGTTCGACCTTTACCCGTTTAAACTTATGTTTTTTTTTTCATTTACAATAACCGTAGCCCCCATATTCGTGCAGTTTAAGATTTACGGAAAATGCAATATAATTGTATGCGATTTCGTACAAGTCATAAACATTACGTTTTTATATGCATTGTTATCATTCGTATTGATTATGTGTTCGTTTACCGAGCACAAGATCGACAAAAGAACGATCTATGCGATATCATATCGTAGTGCTATATCAATAAATTATATATTAGGTGCCTATTATATTCTGTAGATCTGCAGCGATTGTATGTCGGCACGGGCAACACGAATATAGGGAATTTGTAAACGGTTTTGATTATTTAGGTAGTTAAGGTACCTATTATTATTTTATCTTTTGCCTCTGTTGAGCTTAAATTGTTTAACTAAACATTTATTTGCTATAGATAATATATCTTGGTATAGAGAAATAAATCGTACCGTGTTAATGTATTTGTTCGAGTTTTTAATATTCCAGACGGGAAAAAAAACTATAACATGTTATTATGTAGGTATACTTTAAAACATTCAACGTATCAAACAAACAATACGATGTAAACACTTATTAGTGTACAATACACAATTGTCTGCATTTCGACTTGTAGATGTGCCTAATGTTCGTCGAGAAAATTAATAAATTTTGTGAAATATGTTACGAAAACGGTATATTAATAATTGTTTGTTCAGTTCGCATTATATAAGAGACACATAATATTATAGTTCACCTTTGCTTGTCGTCAAACAAATTGTATATTATCTAAATTGTAATATACATTAAACCTTATGAATAATAATAATACAATATAATAGGTACAAACAACAATAAATAGGCAGATTAGATTAATAACGAAAACAAATATTGACTTGAAATGTCATAATGACATACAAGACGAACATAGTGTAAATAACGTAAGTACCTTCTCATTTCGGAAGGAGGAAAAGACAAATAATAAATAAACTATAATAAAATCGGAAAAAGCTATAAATGAGATACGGAAAGTGCCTAAATTGGTATACGCGTCAAATCATGTCCCCGAAATATGCGTTACACAATTCATAAATCATAATAATATATTATAATAGCTATAATAGTATATTATTAGAGCAGAGCTCATAGCTGAATCGTCCTATAAAATTAAAGTACCATACTATAGTAATTTATCCATGGTCAATTGAGCTACTGCATTATTTTCAATTCATTAAATATTCCTGACACCTGTTAACAAAATTATCTATGTAGGTGATATTGAATTAGGCAAAATATACGACGAAAATATAAAAGTACATAATATGATATTACCTATATAAGTTATTGTACGGATTATTGTATATGTAAAAGTTATATAGGTGTTGCAAATAATAGAGAAATTCCGATTATTGGCATAAGTCGATAAGTTATTCTACGTACAACGTACCTAACGATATGAAGGACCATGGAAGTCAAATTTGTGCAAAAAAAAGTGTATATTATTATTATTATTATTATTTGATTATGGGAAAATGCATAAATAGTTGACATATTAGTAATGAGAATAATATACGAAAAATAAAATAATCAAATCAACGGTAAATGGAATGAATAACAAATTTAGAAAAATTAACAAGTTATAGGGACACAGAAGTGTAAATAGCTATTATAGGTAAGTTAAAAATTACAATATTCATAGAATTATAGGTTAATCGTGGTCAATTACTGTGGTATATATATTATTATAGAGTGAGAGGGGACATCTATTAAGAGTAAATTTTGTTTATATCTATACCACTACGATAATAATAAATTATCACAATTATTTTTGAGTCTTAATCGAATTCGAGATCGCACCAGGTACCTACCTACCTATACATAGTGGCGCCGATGTTTTTAAAATGTGGTCGGAAAATTTTAAATTGCATAGCCGCACAGAAGTATTTTATTTTCGTTTGCGTGCCGAAAATCGACCGTTGAACGAGAGGTCCCAAAAACCATTAATATATACAATAGTCAATCGTCGATATCGAATAATAAATTATTGTATCATATTATAAATATTTATAATCATTGTGCGCGCGTCAACAACAATAATTATTCGGCTAATTATCGCGTTATTGATTTCATTATACGCCGCGAATGGTACAAAAATAGAGGCGCTATTTCGTGCGGACCGTTTACAGGGTTAAAAATAAATACCGACAATTACCTGCCTATTATGCCAACAATATGTTCTAAAAATAGTATGGTCGAGCGGAAAAAAAAGATTTTTGACACACACACTTAGTACCTATAATAATATGAGTGGGCACCGCCACATATTATAATATTAAATTGAAGTAATGTGAAAACTTACCAGGCGATCCGGAGTTGAGACCGGTGGAACCGAAGCCGGGGAATGCACCGGCGTAATGCGGGTGCCACGCTCCGGGGGCGGCGGGATGCTGCATGCCTGCGGCCGAGTAAGCGGCGGCGGCGGCTGCGGCGAACGCGGTGAACGGCGTCGGCCGGACGGGCGCGACGGGATGGTGATGATGTCCGCCGCCGGTGACGGACGCACCGCCGCCGGACATCATGAACGCGGCGCGGGCCGCCATGGAGCCGCCGGCTGCTGGAACGGGTGGCCGCCGTGGTGCTGGTGATGCGACAGCGGAGGTGACGACGGGTGAAGCGGCATCGGCGAGCGGCCGCGGTCCGGCGTGCTGGACGAACAGCGCCGGCCGACAGCGACGGCGCCGTCGGGAGTCTCCACGTCCACGCTGTTCCGGTCGTCTTCGTCGTCGTCCGGCGTGTCCATGTCGTCGTCGAACAGGGAACCGGGCGTCGGTGACCGCACGGGCCTGGTGTCGGCCAACAAGGCGGCCACGCTGAACTTGATGTGACCAGACGGCCGGGCGGCCGCGACGACGGATGACCGCGGGCTGCTGGCTGTGTCGTCGTTGTTGTTGTTGTTATTGTTGTGCAATTGGCTGCTGTGGTGGTTGTTGTGGTGATGATGGTGGTGGTGGTGGTGGCCGACGCCTGTCGGCGGACCTCCGCCCATCATCATTGCCGTCGACATGTTTGTGGCCGCGGCCGCGACAGTCATCATGCGCGACGTCTTGCCGTTTTGCTGTAAGTCGTCGGCGCCGTTGCCGTCAGCTCCGGAGGCCGCCCGTTGCTGTTGTTGCTGCTGCTGTTGCTGTTGTGGTTGCGGACCGCCGTTGTTGGCGGACGGCGTCGGAGGCGGCGGCAACAGATGGTTGAGCGCTAAGACTGTCATATTTGCTGCTCCGGTCGGTTCTAGCATGTGTGTCCGCACGAACCGTTTGTAAAGCGCATTCAACGCGCGCGGCTTACCTACCACCGGCAGACCGCAGCGGACGATGCGCGCGAATTCATAAAACGAATAATCTCGACTTAGGTATTTTACGGCGATAAACGACGAATTTGGTCGTATTAAAATATAAAAATTAGACACGTGAGATATCGTAAAAAAAAAAAAAATAAATGTTCGATTATTATATTATACGCGTAAAAGCACACACGCGATCGAATAATAAGACACCGGCGAATGCGTTATTACCGTGATGGGCACACTACGAAACGGCGAACGATAATATTATATTATTTGATTGCAACAGTAATAATATTATATCATCACGAATACGCGCGGAACACGGACAGTAGCGGTGTCGTCGGTCGACTGAACGTCCAAACGGTTAGCGCCGCGGCTGGCTGCGACCTCGCGACGCGACCAGAGCGCGCCCGGTAGTAGCCGCCGGCCCGCCCACTGCGCAGGCCACGCCCATGCCGGCCCCCGTGACACCGACGACGGTGCTGCTGTCGCTGAGTGGCGGCGGCGGCTGTGGGTGGTTCAGTCGGGGCGGCGGCGAGGGGGGCACGTCGTTTCGTCAATACGACGACGTCGTGTCCGTCGTCGTCATCGCACGCCACCGCTGCTACTAAATTATCTATCGTTATATTGTCGTCCGCTCACCGCCCCTCGACGGATCGTTAACCGTCGCTGGCTGCAGTGGCGTACTTTGTAATATTTTTTATGGAAGGTAGCTTATACCAAGGGTACTTGTTATACACTGATAGGTGTGCATTCCTATCGCCACTGCGGTGTAGGTAATAGGTATATAATATAGTACCTAGGTATAATAGTGGGTAAATAAAAATGTATAACATTATCCCTTCTCTATATAAATTCGGTATTGTACCCATAACTATCCAAAGACATAGCCACGTAAGAGTGCATACTTTAAATTTTGATTTATTTACAGATATTATATTACTATTTTTAAATACAGCTAAATAAATGTATGACAAAATATATAGGTACCTATTATACCATTCTGCGATGTACACTATAATAGGTACTGCAGTAGATGTTGAGTGCACCATCTTCGTTCAGTAATCATTATAATTTATAACCTATGGCTTACTGTAATGAATATTTATTTTAATTCAATGATTTATCAAATAGTCATTATAATTTATACAGGTACAATAAAAAATTGAAAAACGATTCCAAACATAATAACATTTAAGTATATTATAAATGTTCGTCCCCCCTCTGTTTTGTTTTTTATATACCTACTATATAACTACAGAGAAATTTCTATTTTTAACCCAACAAAGTACGAACTAAATCTAATTTGCCATCTGCAGAAACCTCGCTTAAAGTGGATGATCCGAGCATTTTTTTTTATTAAAAACTCCGTCAGTATACATTCATATTATAACTATTCGCTCATATTAAACATTTATTTTTTTTCACACATTTTAAACTAAAATAAAGTCTAGGAAGAGTTAGATATGAGGTATTCCTATATACTACAATTGTCCTACACAAGTACACAACCCCCCAAAAATATCCTGCACACATCTTTACCAAAGTAGACAGTATAGGTACCTATATACAGAGTCGAGGCGGCTTGGCCATAACTTTAAAGGTATTCCATCATCCAGCAATATATGCGGGTAAACGATTTTTGTACAAAACTGCACCGTGCAACGTAGTCTGCAGTTTATAATAAAATGTGAGCAATGTTCAGCGACAAATGGCTCTACATAAAATAATATTTAGGCTATTTAGGCTTTTGAAAATTAGCGTTTTCCTTCAATAATTACCTACAAGTAATATAGGTATAAACTAGTTGCTATACTATATATATATATATATATATATGATTATACTTATATATATGCGTGTTATTGACGGCTCCAACGATTAAAAATAAATTAAACGTCTGTTCAAATATTTATACTAAAACACGTTGATGTAGGTACCTGTAGCTATAATTATCTATATATACGAAATGACCTCGATTATATTATTATTATTAAAAATTATAATATCTATGGAGCTACAATCACGATTACAATAATTTCTTTAACAATTAAATATTTTCTTTAAAAGCGTCAATACGAATTGATATCCAATTGATACGGCGATGGAATAAGTACCTATGTAATAATATTTAAAAAACATATTAGTGTAAAATGTATTATAATATCAAATACCTATGTCTATCGTTATAATAACTCATATAAAAATCAAATATATCTAAATTAATATGCCAATGCAATGAAATCGATAGGTATAGAGGTATGTACTAAAGTTTATACCATTATACATTTAATATTATAATGTATATTATATTATAATGGAATGAACAATATCGGTAATCGATTCAGTTCATAATATAATAATTGTACACATAATTATAATGCTATTTCATATAATTTATTGTGTACAATAATTACATTTATATATACCCACTTAGTATAATTATATATATTATATATAAATAAGAGTGTAAAAACGTTTAAATTGTTTAATTTTGAAATCATTAGTCCAAATATAATTATTATTCTATTCAGTGATAATGCATTCCAAAAAACCAAAGAGTGCCTCCTAATAGTTCTTATATATTGTAATGAAGCCCAGTGCTTCCCAACCTGTGACATATTTTTAATGGTTACAGGCATATATTATATTATGAGATTAAACGATTGAATTATATTCCTACATTTAATATAAATACCCGACTAGAATTTTTTTCTACGGGTTACCTGGCAGAAGAAGGGTCTAAATAGTGAGTAGCTCTTTAGCTGTATCGAAAAGGTTGGGAAACATTTTTATAGTTTTTTTTTATAACTCATAGCCTATACATATAATATACAATTTATAGTTACCAACCCAATATTATATCTCGAGTCACGACCGCAGCTACCTATAATATAGTTATAATATTGCTACCTAACAAATATTATATTTTAGACCTACGCCAGCAGATAAGAAATCACAACTTATTAAAATAATGTCTGCAATATACAAGCAAGTTGTAGTAATATATAAATAAACGACTTTTAGTTGAACCGTTTGACCTGGAACTATTTCGTTTTTATTTCATATACAATATATAGGTATTATATATGTTATCATTGAACATTGTGAGTATATAATATATATATACAATTTAGGTATGTAGTTACATTATAATAATATACGTTTTAATAATTGATTATTGTTATTACCTATACGGCTATTATATATATGCTGTATTATATATATTACACGAGTAGTTTTCATCGCATATGGATTTCAATCTTTGTACTTTTTTTTATTAGCTCTCCGTGTCTCTATACAAAACCATAATAATAATGAATAAGGTTTTCGATCTAACCGTAAAAATATATTATACCCCGGTATCATATATAAGGGGCATTTAAAATAACGATACCAGCTATAGACCTATATAATATTCAAATTATTAAATGAAATCGTATACCTAAATTATGTAAATTTATAATATATCACCACGCACCTTCTATATAATATAAAGCGAGTATTCTGCAGGTGGTTTGCGGATCTATAATAATATTATATTAGTTACCTATTAGCATATTATTATTATTATACGTATTATATTATTGCAGACCGTTTTGAAAACAATAATCACCGCGTAATATATTATTATAATCATAGGATAATGATAATTGTCTGTGTATATAGTTTAACGTATGGTTTTGCATTAATTTCAGATAAAGTACAATCGCGATAGGTATACATATTTACGATACCTAATTTATTATAATATGTTTAGAGGTTACAACCTCTCTCGGTTATACCTATTGCTGTTCGATAATATTATATAGAACTGATATTTCATCATAATCTCGTCCGATCGTATATATTAAATCCGTTAATCGAGCTATAATAATATTATAATGCCTAATATTTTAAACGGCCGCAGAAAATGTACATACCTATATAGACCAAAATAATAAAACGTTACGAAACCGTACACAATATATTATAATATTATTGTATTGATTATTAGCGATTATTATTAATATACCTACCTATTATATACTAATTCCACTACGTCGACGACCTATTAAATATGATAATTGGTATATAGGTATCAGTGCACGTCTTAATTTGGTACAATATACTATAATTTAGATCATATTATGCACTTATATGTAGACATTTTTACGACCGTTAATTCCGATAACACTTCTTATGTGGTATACCTATATACAGGCAATAATTATTATTTTATAAAAATACATCATCACGTCATATTGTTAAATACCTGCAGCTACCTAATTATCATTAAAGTTAACGGAACATAATTGGACCGTACCTCAAATAATGATTTTTGTATACAAGAATTTTAATCAATTATATTATACTTTGGTATAATGCATACCTATACTAAAATGTAACCAAAACTATTATACAGAAATGGTCTACATTGATTTGTATGTTAATTATTATATGAATGAAAAAAAAAAAAAATACAAATGGAACAAAATGGTGAAAATGTTTTAGCATACCTAAATATATTGCTGTAATGGCCCAATAATCGACAAAAGCTTAATATTTTAATATAGACTATCACATAAGTATAACATCGACAACTCGCAGTGGCGTAGCCAGGAATTTTGTATTAGGGGGGAGGGGGCTAGGTTTCAATAGAAAATACAAAAAATACATATACAATTTGTCTTTTACTTACACTTTTTATTCTTTTAAGATATTGATAAAATTCTAAGGTCAACATAGTCCATGGGGGGAAGGCTATAGCCCCCTTAACCCCCTCTGGCTACGCCACTGATGTATAGTTGTTTAAACAGTTGAAGACAGTTTATATTATAAGAGATTTTTTTTCAAGAATATTCGAATCAAAACGAATGTATTATTTATATTATTGTAAATTTCAATGTTTGGAGTTTTATTATTATGGTTGCAGCGGTCCACTATAGCTTTAGTCTATAATATTGTTTCAA